CTTAGAAAACTAAGAAAATATAACGAATTGCCTGAAATTCGTTCGTTTTTGCAAATCCTATCACATGATTTCAATGGTAAAAATTTAAATTCTACATCACCTGCTGAAGCAGTGTCCCTGATATTCATACAGTATACTTATGTACACCCCTTGGCGTCAGATCAAAGCGTTATGCCACTTTGAGGCATTTCTACGTCTTGAGGTTCTCGTATTCGGTCACTTTGCTCGTTCGGTTTCAAACGATGCTGGACGTTTTTCGACGTCTCCTAAGCTGAGCAATTTTAAAGGCAAAGTGTTTCCACGACTTTTGAAAACTGTCATTTCTGTGTTCGAAATCAGAACCTTTTCGAGTGTGGACGCCCAAGACGCGACGATTAACCTTCAGACCGAAATCCTGTGCCTGTTTTCGCTGGCTGGTGACCGAATTCCGAATTTTGTTGAACACTACGGCCCTTTTGAAGAAATCGGTCAAGAAATCATGCTCAAAATATCTTCATCTTTAAGCATTGACTCGTTTTTATAGGCAGATGGTCGGCTTCTACGGATTAAGCTTTGAAAATGAATCAATCGTTGGAGATTTCTTTACTCATTAGTTCCTTGGGAAATGCTGTCTATTCTTTCATGGTCGAAGCGGTGACAGTTTCAGGAGGCCTTTCCAAAGGTTTCGCTGCGTCGCCAGACTGATCACTTCAATAGCATGGATTTCCGAGGACAAAAATGCCAGGGGTCTCTGTTCGTTGAGTCCTTTTCTCTGCTGTCTGTCACTGGGCAGTTTCCGTATTGCTTTACCAATTAGTGCCTATGGTCGTCGTCTATGCAACCATTGCAATTTGACGGCGAGAAGCTTACAACCGAGGGTATCCCGAAATGTTGTCTTCTATGCCTTGTTGAATATCGGTCAGCTTGCAGTACTTCGAATAAATCTCATTTCTGTCGTTGGTATCCGGGTTCGAGCTTGCTGTCACTTTCTTAAGCTCATAAGAATAGGCGTGTACACAGGCTTGAAGCTTTCGAAGAGCTCGTTTATGAATGACAGCTATGAATGTTAAGATTTATCTGTATGGTATGGAAAAATTGAAGGATCTTGATGCAACCTGATCCTTGACGTTAGCTCCTATAAATCATTCACGAAGCATTTAGGCGTGGCAGCAAGGTGCCTAAAAGATCGGTTTCGAACTCCATAGATGCTACGTTCGCTTCCGGCCAGCGGAATACTCTTTGTCGAACTGCCAGTTCCACTGAGAGAGGAATTTTCCCAGTATTGCTTCAGATCGGGGTTACTTGACTGGCAGATCTTTGGACCCATAAATGAAAGATCCAGAATTACAGCTCCAGTCGTGTCATTCACTGTTCTTTGTTCATAGATTGATAAATCAGTGCCACTCTGTGGGAGGGAAACAGAAGATTACTCGTTATGCTTGCCATGAAGCTACTATTGACTCTGTGT